CCAGAACAGAGAGGGGCTGTCCCTGCAATGTCAGTGAGAACAGGATGTGTTTTCCCTGACAAACCTCCCAAGGCTTCATCCAGAACAGAGAGGGGCTGTCCCTGAATGTTCTAAGATTTCAGCATCCAAATTTGAGTCATTTTCATGATCAGTGCTGAAGAGGAGGCCAGGATATTTACTTTTTTACCAAATAGTAAAAAGTAGGGAAAAAAAATAATCAGAACCCTTATCTCTGCTTCAGAAAAAAAAAAAATAGACCAAAAAAGCAACTTGTCATCCTTTAAATAGATACAAGCCCTAAAAGTCACCTTTAAAAATGCAAAAATCAGACAGAAAGGAGAACATGGAGAGGGGCAGGTAGGAGAGGAAAGGTTTTATCTATAACTGGAATTTCTGTTCTAAAACTCTTGTCATAACTATTCTAAAACTGTTCTAAAACTCTTGTCATAACTGTTCTCTCACTCCTTTCTCACCTGATTCTGAGGGCCATCATTTCCAAAGCCCAGGTCACCTCACCTCCAGAGAACGTGGCAGAATGAGGCTTTAACCTTCATTAACAGATTGCTCAAGAGAGAAATAACCTGTGCAAGCCCAGTGATTGGAATTAAACAGGCCAGGTGATGTGGGACCTCTCTGCCTCAAGAGTTGCTGGGATTTTTTTTTTTTTTTAAAAACAAAACTTTTTGTTCTGTTTGTAGCTGGTGTTCTTATTGTGATCATAAAGCTGGTTTTACAACACTAACAGCAAAATGCAAATAAMAGCAGCTGTGTTTCAAGCAACATATGATGTATCTGATAATTTAATACTAACTCTAATGCAATATAAGTAGGAAAATTAAATATAGTAGAGRACAAAGTATATTTGTATTTGGCAAGCTCCAGTAGCCAGACAAAAATAATGCAACAGAGCATGATTTTTCCAGATTATTTCAGAATGCTTTAAGAAAAGTGTTCACGTTTTTCAAACTGAGCCACATTCAATTAAGTTCTCCTCARGTTTCCCTGTATAAATGATTCAAACTTACAATAAAAACCAAAAAATAATTGTCAGGGCTTTGGTGCAGAAGCAGCATTGATAGAAATGGTTTTTGGGGACCATACCACGGGCCAACTATCTTTTGGTCGCTTTTCATTCCTCTGTCTCAGTCATTTCCCAATTTACAGACAAAGGAAAATGAAATAAATTTATGGAGTTTTACTGTTTCATCTTGYAAAATAAATTTTAGATAAAGAAGCAGAAGTACCACAACYAAAATRCTGCCAAAAAAAMCCMMAAAAATAGAAATTATGTTTATATTCTTCAACACAAACATTGAGTAATTTTTGTTGCATTATGTTCAGAGAAATATATGATAGACACACACTGGGCCAAATCCTGAAGGGATTTGCTGAGGTGTTTTTGTTAGGTTTGGGGTTTTTTCCAGATGTTTTAGTTATTAGAGAATCCAATTTTAACCTAGCAAGGTTTCACACTTCTTTCTGCTGAATCATTGTTCCTTAATCTCTCTGTTCTAGTTCCTCTGCAAGTCAGCATTTGAAATCCCTCAGTTTTACTGAAATAAATGACAGGGTTTTTTTTTTTTTTTGGAGGATCTTTACATCCCTCAATATATTAAAAATTAGTTTTGTTTTTTGAGGCTTCCATTTCTGGAGCTTGTTAACTGATCWGTATTATTAACATAAAGTAGATTATTATGTTTCCATCCCTTACCAAAAGCATAAGCATATTAAACAACCTAATTAATCCTAATTAACTAGAAAGTCACGGAACACTTCTCTTGACCAAAATAATTTAGAAATGCTCTTGTGGTGATGGCTTGCAATTTGCAGAAATCATTTTTGAAATGAAAAAGACAGATGTATTTGTCTCTGATGCAAATGGTCTGGATAAATTAAAACTAATTAGGTTTATATGTCCCTGATAATTAAATGAGATGCATGTAGGCTATATTATGATAGAGGAAAGAACAACTCTTAATTTTTATAAATGAGATGCAGCAAATGACAAAATTTTCAGGTCTGTTAAAGGTAAAATCAAATGGTAAAGCAGAGCTCTGCTCTGGAGCACGGGCAGAGACCTTTTCAGGGTTTTCAGTRGAATTCATTCCTTGCTGGTTGAGAAGAAATATCAACAAGAAAACCTCAACTTTCACTGTCCAATCTTTGCACATCCTCAAGTGCAAAGACAGCTAGAGAAAGGACTTCATGTGCTTTCCATGACTTAGAGGAGTGGCCTTCCTACAGAAAAGTAACAAAGTCAGGCAGCCAGACAAACAGCAGCCAATTAAAATATTTCAAGGAGCCCCAGATAAGTTGGTCTGTGTTTTTAACACAAGTAATTTCACAGGATTTAWGTTTTGTAAAATCAGGTTACCAAATGTTAATGTACACAAAAAGACAAGTAGACTCACCCTAGAAGCTCCGAAAAATAAATTGGTCTTTTGTTTTTCCCCTCCTTCTTTTCTCTCTCTCTAAATGGACTGGAAAGATGATTTTTCAGTGCAAATCCCTTGCCACCTGGGTATGGATCAGGCATCCTGACAATCTAAAAGAAAATCTAAAAGAAAAAAGAAAAAAATTAACATCATCATTTGTACACTGTATTTGTATCAAGGCAGAAATCATAGAATGGTTTGGGTTGGAAGGGATCTTAACATGGATCATGCAGAGAATTGCATTAAATCACGTTCATAATAATAAACTGCTTTCAACCCTTCAACACTTGATTTGTTCTGTTAGCAACAAATACATCACAGAACTTCATCAACTCAGGTGYTCTTCTTGGTCTTCTGGTTAGGATATCAGTTCCACCAGTATAACTTAAAGAGAGGGGGAAAAATCAACAGAAAACATCTTCAAATGTGGYAAACCCAGCAACACAAAACTGAGATAAATTAAAATCACCACTGCCTAAACAGAGATCACTAATGCATTGAAGGAAGCTTATTTTTTAGCCCAAATTTTGTTGGAGGTCTTATCAGAAGCATTTTTTTTTTTTTTCTAGCAAAAGGGACAGGAAGGGAAAACTTTGAAAATCAGATGTTRAAAGCACTCAGTGACTTTCTGGTTATCTCCAACAAGCACAAATTTAAAGGATTACCCTGACTGCTGAGGGCTCGAGGCACACACTGCAGTAGCAGCTGCTTCATCAGTTTTCCTGTTAAAAAWGGTTGGGAACAGCATGGAAGCAGGCAGGCTGTCTGTGCCAGGAAAATGAGTGTAATAGGAATATTTGGAAGAGAAACTGAAAAAGAAAGGTTATGTTGATGAGAGAAAAGCAMTGGCCTTCGTCTCCAAAGTAGAACACCTGCTTGGTGATTTTATTCTGCAAATTTCTGACCAAGAGCTGCTGTAATAAAACATCAATATACTGTAAACTCTATAAAGAAAACTGAGGTGGAAAATATGCCCTTACCTTAAAGGTGAGAAATGAGGCAGGAAATCAAATCAATGGTCTGTTCAGGCTGATGGCTCTAGTTTGTATGAATTAGGGAGGCTGGAGTACTTTTTCCTGTAAAAAGAAATTGTTGAGAAGATAACAGTGTTGTCTAATATTAGTGCAGAGCTGATGGGGGGCACAGATAACACATCAGGGGCCTGGAGCGTGGGGAGAATCCAAACAAGAGCAAGTGTAATTGCCAGAAACCAAACAAGAAACTGGAATGTTTCCACTGATCCATCAGTGAAGGGCACCTGCACCTCAGAACACTGAAAAGCAGAATATAAAGCTTCCCTTCCTACAGGAAAGGTTCTGTGCACAGAAATTATCATGAAGGTGAGAGCCCCACCAGAAAATTCACCAATAAACATTTAACAATGGTCAGACAAAAGATTTTAATTAATCCCCAAAATTTCAAAATTTCCCAACGCAAGACAAAGCTTTGTCACCTTTTTGTCACCGTTTTTATCAAAACTAGGGGAGAAGGAGGAAGTTTGCCATAAAAACCAAAGCAGAGGAAACAAAAAAAAGGAAAAAGTGTCAGGCACATGAAGGGAAAGAGATCTTTAAAGCTAAGCATGCTGCTGTGTCTGAGAATCCTACAGATGCTAGCAAAAAAACCATTTAGGTAAATTCAAAACCGCTCAATTACTGGGTACAATTAACATTTCCTCAAAAAGAGCAGAAAACCCCCAAACCCTCTTTACATCAAAGCACCACATTGGCCAAGTGACCTCTTGCAGAAATTATAGTAATAGCATTAAATCTTACATTTTCTGGGGAGGAGAAAGAAATGAAGCTTTCTATACACCACCAATGCAGAAATTTCCAAAAGAACAGTTGGGGCTGTTTATTCAAATTGAAACCACCTATGATGATCTTTTACCTGCATTTCATCTTTGTTCTTTTAATTATAGAAGGCCTGTAAGACAATAACTTAGAGCACAGCTGAACTGGGCTGGACAGATCCCTCTGAACTGAATTTTGGAGCAGGGAAACAACAGGAAATCACTACCAGTTGGTTCTGAGCAGAGGTTTGATGTTAGTATGGCCTCCCTGCTACAATTCAGAAGAAAGGAACGTGGCAGGAGAAGTAAAGTCCACTGTGGAAAACTGTTAATTKTTATTGTGCAAGTTCCTTTATAAAACAKATGRCAAAGTGTACTTGACCTTAGGGAYTCYCTCCTGTGCCATCACCACACAAACYTGGYCCTACTGAGACCCCAGCTCATCCCATTAATACCCTTTGTGTGGTACCTTTCAGCTTGGCAACAGAAAATCCCAGTTGGAGACAAAATTCCATCTGTGGGCAGAAAAACTAAAAAATAAAGAACAAAACAATCCTTAAATACAACAGCACAAGACCAGTTTTCTTTTATTCTATTATTTCCTCCTACTAATAAAAAATAAACAAAATTCAAGGTATTGTTAAGAAGTTTTAATGACAATTTTACAGAAGATTCTGTAGTAAATGGTCTCTTGAGCAGCATTTAAAACATTTCTTCATATTCTGGGTTCTGTACCATACAAAGGTGGAGGCTGAATTAAGCTCTTCCCMTGTTCACTGCAATGCAAGAACCTGCTGTTTGTCCTCCAGAATTGCTTTCTCATCATCTATTTGGCTTTCATCCCAGTCCCTTCAAAAAAAACCAAAAAACAMCACAGTGATGATTTCCAGCACCTCAAATTCCCCAGGTTCCTCTGCCCTAAACCTTGCTGACATATGTTCCATATGTTGAACTAAAAGGCACAAAAATAGCTTTTACTGGAGATTTTTTCAGTGCACAACATGTACAAAGTACTGTAATTCATCTTTTCCCTCAGTTTTTGTCACAAATCTCTGAATCAGCATGGAGTTAACTTCAGTATCTCTCTGACTCTTGCTGGTTATAAGATCCCAGTAAAAAAAAAAAACATTGAGACACTGAATTCTGTGGAATTTCCTTTTTTTTCCAGTCATCTTCTCAGTGTCCAAGGCAAAATAACAGATACATATGCAGAGTTAAAGGTTATTGATCCACCTGGTCACAACTTTTCCAAGGTATCTTACAACCCAAGAAYGCAGATTAAGAGATTTATTCATAAAGCTGAGTGCTAATGCACTGAAAAAGCCACAATCCCAAAATTTATAATTTGGAGTCTCAATGACAAAATACAGCCCTCAGTTCTCACTCTGAGCTGCCTGAGACCTGGCTTAGAACACCAAGACACCACACAGGTCATGCGGACATTTTCAATAATCATGTAATGCACAATCAAAAAGTTGAGGCTGTTTTTGTTTCAGTTCTGACATGGTTATCACCTTGAGTAATTTAAAAYATCATAAAAACACACTCAGAAARTTGAACCTACCCAAAAATATCCAAKGTGYCGTGGTCTTTCAGCTCCAGGGCATTATGGAAATCTGCAGTGTTTCCACAGATCTCCTCCAAGGAAGAAGATGTAACTTCTTCCCTTCTGCTAGAGGAGGTTACTTCATCACAAGTTAAGGTGCAATGGTTTTCAGGACCTGAAATATTTTAGGAGCAAATATGAAAAGAAAATTGAAGTATCAACATTATCAGCCTGAAAAAATTCACAGTATTGAGAAAAACTTGCCCTTAAGAGTCTCAAACCAACTCTAGCTGATGAAAAATACCATTAGAAATTAATATTGGGAATTTATAGATATTATTAAAGAAGCTACAAATATATTGGAAAGCAGCACCTCTTACTTCAGAAAGATCTTTCAGAAAAGAAATATATGATTTAAGGATTCTACACAATGCCACAAATTTTCTGAGAGGGGAGAGACTGAATAACTGTAGAAAGCTCAAAAGTTTGGTTCCTTTTTTTCAATTTAAACAAACATGAATAAAATATAGACACTTTCCAATATTTTCCTGGGATTCCAAATTGACAGCTTTGATTTCTGCACACAGCATTATTTAAATTAAAATGTCACACCGGTTGCTCACGATGAGAGAAATAATGTAGAGCTACATTTCTTGAGATGGAGACAGTTGAAATTGAGAAAGGTAACAAAAAAAAAAATGCAGTTATTACTTGTGGCCTTGTTTCTTAGAGTTCATAGAATCAGAATTACTTCAGCAGCAGGAAGAAATCCTTTATTAGATCGCTCTCAGGTTGTATCAAAGACTGCCAACACACAAATATATCAACTTCTCCTGGAGAGTTTATTTTCTAAATATCCAAGCTAAGAGGAGAGTAAAGGGGCAGCAGCAGGAGTAGAAACTCAGCACAATTTTAGCTATTGGTGATAGCTAAAAAGGGGTAATTTTTAACTCCAAAGCCCAATGTTGCAAAACCCCAAAACACATTACAAATTCAACAGAATCATCCCAGACAGAATGTCTCCGTTTTCCTTAATTAAAATTAACCTAAGTAGGACCTCAAAACTGTAGCAGTCCTTACCTGGGCATGGCACCCACATTACCACCACTGGAGAAATCTTATTTTGAGCCTTGAAAGCATTTGCAGCTCTGTTCAGTTGACTTTCTAAGACACCTTGAACTACAGAATCATCAGCATATTCACTTAAACTCCTTTCAGAAACCCACTGCCCATCTCCTGAAATCAAAACATATTAGTGGAAATTATTTGCAGGTTTTTTGTTAATATGCATTAATTTCAAGTGATGTATTTAATCAGATTAATGATATTCATCTATCATTTCACATGTTGTTTCAYATACACATGAAAAGCAATAGGAATCTCGTGGAAACAAATTCTCAGGGGATATAAATAATTATATAAATTTATGGCATTGGATTCTGACCCTATGCAGRATAAGAAGTTTATTTTATTCTTGCCCAGCACTACTTGTGAGCACAACTGTCACCCTGAAGTGACTCTTAAAGCAAAATGGATAGAAATAAACTGAAAAAAGATGAAAAATTTGTATATTTTTGAGGATTCATCACAACAGTACCTGGAAAAGGGACAGTCCTGTCCATAGGGTTGGAGGCAGCACTYGGGGAAGGAGGTGCCTCCAGTTTTCCTTCTTTAGGGTTTGCACCTACAACAAAGAAACCTTCAAGTCCCTGATATGATGTAGAACCAGATTTCTGTCTTTTGGCTACATCCTGCAACTTGAATACAACAGAGAGATTAGAAACAGGAAACTATAAATTACTCTTGCAAGTTTAGATGAATAAAATGCTCATTTCATAGATGTCAGACTGATTTTGACAGCCTGCTGTAACAGATATTCATGAGGATGATGGTTTTGCTCAAGATAYGCTTTAAAATCCTAAAAACTTCTCACGTTGTGAGAGATTGAGTCTATTCTTTCACTGTGCACATGAAAAGCAGGTTTTGTGTTCACTTTTGAGCATATAAAGGAAGGCAATCACTGTTTAACAATGACTAAATCAATGGCTCAACCTTTTCTATGATTTTTTGCTTTTGAATAGTGTTTTAGYAGGTTGAATAGTAGGTTGACTATCTACAGTTTTTGGTCTTTCAATAAAGAGGTGAAGTAATGTTAACACAAATATGGGAAGAGGTGCTCCTCCAACATTTGGTTGTTTCTTTTTTTTACTCTGAGTCTGCTCTCTCTTTTCCTTTTTTTGAACATTAACAGAAAATTGGCAACACAAAGTGGAAAGCATAGMTGCTTTCATCCCCTACATATGAAATATGGCAGGGAGTGACAATCCTCTAAATCTAAAGCAGATTAAACAACATCCTTAATCTATTTAACAATCAAAGACATAATAACTTACTGTTGAAGATTTTCTAGTTACAGGCAAGACCAAGCTCTGACTATTGCAGACACTGTCCAGTTCTTGTGGCTCTCTCTTGCTKTTCTGCAGTTGTGTCTCAAGGASATTTTTGTTGCTCATTGGTTCAGTCTCAAGGAGATTTTTGTTGCTCACTACTTCAGTGGGGTTAGAGATCTCCTCAGGAAGGTCACAGGAGTTCCATGATCTTCTCTCAGTCTTTGGTTCAAAATTCTCCTCCTGCACTGCATTTTTGTAAAGATCACTGCAGACAATTGTTTTTTCTACAAATAAAAATAAAAATAGCAATATTTGTAATTGAAATGAATATTAATCATAACCTACAAGTCTACTGTTTTCTTCATGATCTTAAAATACAAAACCTCCATTAAAGCTAAAGAACTGCAATAGTAGAAATTTCATAAAATTATCTTAAAAGAATTAAAAGATTTGAAACCCATCCTATCAGGCTGTTGTTTCTTTGTTCATASATATTTATCAAAAGTGCTCACACAGCCCATCAAATTGTAATCAAATCAGACTGTAATAGCTCAGAAAATGGTACATAATTTAATGACCTTTAATTAGTTTTCAGACAACCACTGCAGYTGACTGTCACATCCTGCATGAGAATGATAAACTGTACACATTTACATATATTGTACAAAGAACTTAATATCTTTCCAYATTTACCTTGAGGAATTGCTTTAGGAGAAACAGGATTTCTGTTGAGAGGAAAAAGTAAAAAATACAAAGTTCACCTGTGGAAGTTAAATGGAAATAAGACTTTCTCATTATACCTATTTCTCTTTTAAAGGTTTGGTTCTGTGCTCTTTTGGTCTGCAACTACTGAGCTTTGAAACAGAGAAAGGAAAGACCAGAAGAGCACAAAACAGGTCACATCTAATTAAATACATTTTGGGAGATCAGAAGAATTGCACATGTATCAATTATTAATTTTGTCGGGAATGTCAGAGTTAATCAAGTGAGAGTATCTTAAAAGTAACAGCAATCAATGATAGAATTCGGATGGGAGTTCCTGCTGCTGCTGAGGTAAGAGCTCAGAAAAGAGAAATTTTGCAAAAAAATAGGGCAGGTACATGCAAAGAAATGGATCTTACATGGGAGTGGTCAAGTGGGAGGGGCTTAACATAGAAATGATCAAGTAAAATGAAAATATTTCAATGTGATGCCTCTCTAATTACAGGTAATTAATCTTCCATGGGGGCTCTGAAACAGTGCACAGTCAGTGATTCAAAAAATAACTGCCTACAAAGAAAACCACCCATTTTTTAGGAACTAAATCCAAATTGGGGATTATTTCCTTTCCTCTTCCACAATACCTGTATTTCTGATACCCTCCACACCACTCCAGGGGGTCAGTTTTTCCTTGTTTATTCACTCCCACAGCTCCAGTTACCTCCACCAAAGAGTCTGATGATCCTTCAGGGTCCTTGCTATGAAACTGAACAAAAAACAAAACCAAAGAGACCCATACTCAGCAGCAGATTAAAATTTAAAAAGTGACTAAAAGCTGACAGACTTTATTCCTGTATAAATTCCATATAGTGCAGGTCTCTGGACACAACAGAAAAAAAATTACCAGGAACCTTCAGAAAGATAAATTTTCCACTTTTGTATAAAAAAAAAAAAAACAATTTTCCAGTATTTTGTCTTGTTGGAAGTTATTTAACTGTTGCTGTTTGAAATATTTAGCAGATCCAGACTTAAAAAAAATCAGGTCATTGTTGAGATTCATGAAGACCTTTATGAGATACTTACATCATCAAGGAACTCAATTTGCAAAGACGACTCTGCATTTTTAGAAACTCTGTTGGGTTCTTCTGGTCTATAAATAGATGCCCAGTATTTCTTCACCTCTTCATCTATGAAATATAAATAATTTCATGCATGTTATTTTCTCCTGTTTAAAATGCACTCATAAAAATGCAACATTTTTATTTATTATGAAGCATCACAAATTTCTCCTTTTATAATTGCTGCTTTAAGCAGAAATTGGTTAAGAATGCAACTGTCCAGCAATCACAGAAAAAAAAAACTCAAGGAAAAGGTATTTTAGATTCAATAAACAGAAATTTGTTGCACCTGTTAAGCCCTGAATGTCATCATCATCWTCATCACGACTTCTGTCTCCTCCTCCTCCTCCAGCCCTGGCCCGATGAGCACTCAGGGCTTGCACGTGCCTTGACTCTCTCATGAAACTTTCAAAAAGTTCATCCACAGGAGTTCTGAAACAGGAAAACAAAATAAAAGTCAAAATTTTTAAAATGTGTCAAAAAAAGAAAAGGAAAAACCCTAATACTCTTTTTACTCCAGCAGTATTAACTCTTCCTAATTTCACTGAGATGACCTCAGGAACTCATAAAAAAACCTTGTAATGGCCATAAAGGTATCCTGAAGATTGSTCTTCCTTCTCTCTAAAAAACTCCTAGAGCAAATGTCCCAAAAATCAAGCAACCAAATATCATAATCAGTCTTCAAGTTCTACAATAAATTGATAGCAAAGAGAATYCCTCCAAATACTCCTTCTACAAGAACTCTGAACTATTAAATTATCAAATCTGGTTATAACAGTTATTTTATTAAATAAAGCCCCTTGTATATGCTCCCCTTAACTCTTGATAATATATCTAATATTTTAAAAGTTTAATCTGGATTTTTGTTAATTATTTCTGAATTCTTTCATTAGGAGCAACAACTCCAACAATACCTTCTGTACTTCTTCAGCAGGAGTTTCTCCATGTAGCTCAGGCCATCCTGGAATTCAACGTGGATGGGTTCCTTCCCAACAGTTACATTGGTCTGTACCTCACAAATCCCCACAGACTCTGTTAGAATTATTTTTAAGAAAATTATACAGCTGTTCAGACTTATAAACCTGCTATTTACCTACATTATTCTTGAATGAACGTCACATTTTGAGTCTGTGCTTAGCTAAGTCTTTGCATAGCTCCCAAATTTAAATGGCCAGCAATATTATATTTACAGAACACAGTCAGTAGTGGGGGCAGCMATAAAAACTCATTTATTACAGATTACTGCACTGGAGGCATGGGAAGAGGTGGGGGATGGAAATCCATGACTCCACAGACAAAAATCCCACAGAAAAGAAGAATAAAAAGGAAAAAAAAAACAGTTTAATATTATTTTGTACAAAAACCCACAGAGAACAAAAACCATCCAGGGACTGGAGGAACAAGACCAGCTTGCACAAATCCAATCAGCCCAGAGGAATTTTTTATATTTTCTATGCATACTTCAGCTGATTGCATCCTTTCATTGGGACAAAGAAATATTAAGAGGCTGTGGAAGGCAAGCAGCAAATGTACTGTGATAGAACACACAAAATCCTGAGCCCTGCACATTCCTGCCTCAGTTAAAAACTGACTTTATGTTGAGCATTGCAGTGAGACACAAAGCTATGGGCAGGGACAGGGCCATGGGCTGAACAACCTGGCCACTGCCAGAGTTCATTACAAAAATTGAGATAAACACTCACCCGCACATTATTAAAAAATCCTTCTGAGATTATTGTTATTAATAAAGGAACACTGAGAAAAACTAAGAAAAACCATTATTATTCTAACATAATATCTGCCTTCACTAATTAAAAATCTGCTAACTGCCCCAAAAGTCTCCTAATGTACCTAAAATATCATTAAAACACAACAAACCATACCTGATGGGATCTTACTGGCACGCAGCTCTTCGCCAGGATCACTTTTACCTTTTCTCCATYGAAGCAAAGCTTCCTGAAAAGACTTTGCAGATGCCTCCTCATCATATRCACCACTCAGCAATAATCTTTTGTCCTGCTTTCCAAGGCTTGCACGGGTTGGTTCTGAGGCTGGGACCTAAATCAGTTCCACAACATTATTAATAAAAGAGCACTTCTGATGAGCAGCAACATTTTAAGTGTCAGCTGTGGGACTGCAGCACTCAATTTTCTGGGCTCACTGGAGCTACCTGGTAATCAAGATCACTCACATTTTATGTGGTCTCGCTCACAATTAATTGCAAAGATCTATCAAGAGCTAAGTAAGACAGACAAAAGTTTTTATCTCCAGACACACAAAAAACCCCTACATTTAAATGCTTCTGGTGTCAGAACGCCCTCATCCCATGTTCTAGGATATAAAGCCCTGCAGAATCCACATCCCACATATAGGATATAAACCCAGGCAAGGCACACATCCCATGGTTAGGAGGGATTAAATGAGGCATTTTATGCATCATGTCTCATTTAAAGGAATTTGTGAGCTATGTGCTTTACTAATGAAGAGCTGCTTATTGAAGCTTCTCAGTAGACAGGGGCACATCTGGACAGGTCAACAAGAGGAAAATGGTCATTTAAGGGGCTAACTGGAATAGCAGTTCACACATTAAAAAGAGCAGTCCAGGGCAGTCCAAACTGTAATAGATGAGACTGACTAAAAAAAAGCTAGAAAAGGGAAAAAACAGTGTTACACCGGGATTTTACTGATTTGCAACCTTCATTAGAAAAAGAAAGAATTACTGTGGAAGGTTTTCATTACCATCTCGCAGATGATTATCAAACAAAACCACAAAACACTTCGTGTTTATCCTTTCCCTTTACAGGGAAATACCAGAAGGAAAGATCCTTGGTCTACACAATTTCCATGTAAGGGACACGTTCTTACCCCACAAAAAGCAGCAAAGGTACAAGCAGAAAGTGTAAYGAGTGTAATTATCAGCCCCTACACCACCAGGATGTTTTCCCATTTCCACCTTTCCATCTGCTCTATGCTGTAACCGATGCAGGGACTGKTTGCACATCCAGTGGCACTTGTGACTTGCAAAAGGAATAAATCGTGGCTGTTTAAAGGTGTCAGAATGTCTGTGCGTTCAGGGCATTCCCCGATCCTCACACCGCACTGCGGGATGAGCACGGCGCAAAGTTCACTGCGGGATCGGCCGGGAACGACACGATTTTCAGACCAATTGTTCCTGCGGCTCAGTTATTCCCAGGTCCAGGGATCCCCCGGGATGCGGAGCTGCAGGAGCGTCCTGCGGGGGCGCAGCGCACTCGGGCGGCGATTCCTGGAGCTGCATCCCCGGGACCGCTCAGGGCTGGGTTTGCTCCTAAAAAACCCGTGGATAAAAACAAACCATGCACTATTTGCGCTGTTGAGAGTGTGCGGTGCTCTTTGTTCCGTGAGCCTTAATGAAATCGGGAGCAGGGAAGCAAAATCCCAGTTGGTGAGTTATGTTAAACTCAAAAGGAAAAGCATGAAACAGACACAAAATATCTGCTTATTTTGTTTTGGGTGTTAGCAGCTCCAACTGGTTTAATAAAAGCAATAAAAAAAAAAAAATCACACCATGTGTTACAGGTGGGGAGAGGCACCATTCTAAGAGAGACAATATTTTAAGAAAATATTTTCTCATTCAACAGTGGAACTACTCTATTCACATCACAGTTACTTAAAAAATTGAATTGGATGAGCTACACCACATTTTGGAGGCTGCATTTCCTATTTATACTTGCTAAAAGGCAAAATTCCTTTATTAAACATAAATCACTTCATAYTTGATAATAGAAATTTCCACTCTATCACAGCCAGCAAGGTGACAGYTTGGAAAGCAGTCAGAATTCAACAAGTGCCCTGGTCCTTATCTAAGGATTTAAAATTGCAAAACATTCATGGACCACTTAATTTTKTCCTATCTGCCTGCAACCATGTGTCCCTTTTTAGTCACAGAGTAGTGTTCCTTAGTTAAGGATGAGATCAGCCTTCTTCAGACATGTCCACATGCAGGGGAAATTCATAAAAATACAGTTTGAATAAAGCCTTTAACTGTTACCAGCTAAAGAAGTGGTCAGTTCTGATAGGAGAACGGTTGAATCTGTTCCCTTACACTGAAAGGTATCAGGGTATAAACACCTTCCCTCACTTTAAATTTATGTCTCCACATTGCCACAAAGTAATTCTACACACATTAAATTATGTTGCTACAGAGTCATTTTGAAACTATTTACTTACCACATGCCGACCCTTCATTTCAGATAATCCACAGGCTGTCCCCTTCAATTCGAAGTTTTCACGAGCTACAACATTTCCTCTTTCAAGCTTAACCGGTTCTTTCACTGGCTCTGGAACAAATAAAAAAAAAAAACAATTAATCCAGTATTTCACTCTCTGATTTGTTCATTGTTTAATTGTAGCAATCTCCAAGAAGCAATAACCTACCAGAAGCTTGTGAGGTTTTATTTAGTAAAGAAAGATGCCTTTACCTTGAATCTGATCCTTGAGTATTTGAATCTTGACTTTTTCTAGATAAACCTATAGGAAAGAATATTTATATACATATGTATATATAAAACCCACAGGCAAGCAGGTAATTTTATTAAAGTTCTCATTTTCTTCAAGTTTAAAAAAAATAGCACAGAATTTTCCAAAAGAAAATAAGGAAAAGTACCCCCATTTGTACAGTTTAAAAAGAAAACAGATTTTTCAATGATTTAGCAGTAAAGTTCTACATCCTTTCTTTTAGGTTTGAGCAAGGATGTCATAGAACAAGAGTCAATAAAACTGAGRTGTATTTTATCTGTGAATGCAGAGAATTTGCACTCAAAACTTCACCCAAAGCCTTGTATTTTAGATTCAGCATGGGCACCAGTCAGCCAAAGGACAGGCTCCTGATGATTTCCATCATACCAATGACACTCTTACAGGATTAAATCTGCCTGTTGCAACTAAAATCACAACAGATCACACAACAAAACTTGGTATTCCTCCATCTTGAAAGGAACCATAAGTTTGGAATGGAAAAGTAAAGAGTCATGAATTTTACTCAGAAGGTGCTTAACCTTTGAGTTTTACCTTTTGAAATTTTCCTGTTCTGCAGCACAAACATCATTCTAAATCGTTTTACTTGCAAATATTGTTTCCTACCTGTTTCCTGTTTTCATTATTTTGTGCCTGAACTCGGGCTTGGATGGTCCTTGATCCTGCCTGTCCAGATTTCCAATGATAAGCACCCAATTTCCTAGGAACCAAGAGCAAGAAARAATTTAATTATGTCTTCTGCATGCAAGAGAAGCATAAAGTTTTTCCTTCAGTTTGTTAAATATGAACAGACCATTACAAAAATAAAATGCTTGTCGACAGGATCATCAATTCCCCAAAATACAAATGCTCCCTTCCATCAAAACCTGCTTCACATYTACTTTAATAGCAGTAAATGTATCAAATGTGTTAGAAAGTACTTATTTTTAGACCATTAAATCGGTCCAAGTTTTTAAACATAAAAAAAATCTTATCACTTCTCAAAGGCTGGGTTTAGAAGAATAAAAACTGAAGTACATTTTATAAGAGCCTTCTTTGTCCCAATTTACTCTAGGAATTCATCCAGCACTGCTAAAACACAGGAACTTTCAGATCCTTTCCAGCCCAAACCAGTCCATGATTCCCACCAGTGRTGCAAATGCCAACAGCTCCTGTCCTTTGAGCTCTCCATAGCAACCCTATCAGGGTTTGCAGGTACAAAAGCAAGGGAACAAAGCAAGAACAACTCCACGAGAATAATATGGAGAAAAAAGGGCCACACATCACCTGGAAAACACTGCCCCAACAGCCCAGGCCAATGCTCACAGAGCTGCCAACAGCAGGCCCTAAACAGCAGCAAGGGATCCAAACCCAAGGCATTTGCATCCCCAGTGACAAAGCACAGCAGGCAGAAACTCAAGAAGGAAGCAGATGTTGCAGAGATTTGCCAGAATTCAGAGTGACTCAGAGAGATTTAAACTTCACCCCAGCATTTGCCTCTTTYCACTGTGCTTGGTTTTCCATCACACTGAAGGTGCCTCTCTGAGAAACTACACAAATATAAGAGGATCAAAGCAACGCTATCAACAGCATCTTCTGCAGAAACTTCAGAAATGAGACTGAAATAGTGSAAGAGAAACTACTCTGTCTCCTGCWTGAAAACCAAGGTGACAAATCCAGTCAGACAGGGGGAAAAAGAGAAGAGGGAATMAATGAAGAAAACTGATCAAATATCATATGAGAGTTTAAAATTAACAAAGTCATTGGGAAGCAGTTTTATCATCGGGAAGAAAGATTGGAGAGAGRAGACTGAATTTTGCAAATTCCAAACTTTACAGGACATCCCATCTGAGGAAGTGTGGAGGGAGCATCTCACTGGGTTCATTTTTCCCAAATAGAAACTGAACCTACCTCCTCTCTTCTTTTTCTCTGCTCATGTTTGACTGCAGTTGCCGTAATCTGTTCTCCATCTCTCTGTTTTCTGTTTCTAACTGCACCTTCTCCAACTGCAATTCCTTGACAGTTCTGGAGAAAACAGTAAAATATTCATTAAAAAAATCACTTGAAAGTGATTAAGACACCTGAAGAAGTTTAGGCCAGAAAAAAACAGAAGTTGGAAATTCAGACACAAATTTCAGACATGTCCCTCTTCTAACTTTTACCAAGAMTGAGAACAGCTCTGGAAAATTCAGAACAGGTCAAGATTGATACAATGGTGTACTCAAAGTTTTGAGGTTTAATTACATTAAAATAATCTATCCAATAACTTCTTTAGTATGTTTGTATCATCCAGTAAATACATAGGGTTGTAAAAACTATATCAGAAAAATTGAAGTCTAAGAAAAGAAAGAATTAGGACTTGTGGAAAAAAGCATAGGGGAAATGCTAGAAAAGAAACACATCATGATTCTTTTTGCTCTTGCACAGAAAAGGTCTAGTTAATGTTGCATTAAAACTTATTAAAAGTTACRAAAGCACATCTCAATCCCAATCAGATAGAATGCACTTACTTTGTTTTTAATCTCACTGAGCTTCCAGCTTTTGAGCCCGGGAATATTACAAAATCATTGGCATTCATGATGCCCAGTATAACTTCTTCTAAAAAAGAGAATTTCAGTGATCTACAGTCAGGAACCTGTTGAAATGGGAATTTGATTGAAATTAAAACAGTAAAAAACTCATTACGCATCCAAAAATATTCACGTGTAGAGAGAAATGGAGCATAGAACTTGTTTATATGAAGTGCCAATAAAATCCTAGAGCAACATGAAATTAAATTTAACCAGGAAAAATAAGCCTTTTATTACATTTATGACACCAGGGAAAAGATTCTCTTGGCTGTTTCATTTGGGCAATTCCCTAAAGTTCAGTGCAAGCAGATTAATAATAACTAAAACACAGCTTTCTTGAACTAAACATATAGAAAGCACCAAGAAGGAGAAAATTGTACCAATRGCTATGAAGTCAAACCTTCTCACTTGATTTGGGAAGATAAATGCCTCCTGTCACAGACAAATTGATACAAAGGAACACAATAACCCTGAGAGCTGAGTTAATCCCTCCTCTCAAGACTTCAGTGGTATTYCAAATTCATTGTTTTTACTCAAGTTGTAAAATACTCTTCCAAAAAGTGAATTCATGCAGCAYAGGATTCACATTTGAAAGTGAACATGCAGATCTTTCCTGGGCTGGAATGTTTGTGGTTTAACTGTAGTTCCCAGTACCAAAACTGGACATTTACTGCTGGGAGGCACATTTTTCCTGGGAAAAAAGAACAAAACTTGATATTGCAGAGACTTACAGCTGAGAGGGTGCCTGGAAACTGTTCTGCAGCTTGTGGCTGTCAAGTTCCTGGGGAAAGCAGGACCTAGCAAATGATGAGGAGATGTTTAGGATTTGAAATATCCCAAATGGAAAACTGAGCTCAAGAGGAAACTCTGCTCTCTGTTTGCAGGTAAACCTGAAATTGAGCACTAATGCAGATAAAACGTGTCAAAACATCTTCATCTATGAGGCAAAACCTCTCAATGGCACACTGAAGTTAAAACAGTGCCACAGAACCTAAAAGACACATTTCAGGGCTGACAGAGTGTCAGATGYGTGCACAAAACATGTTTCTCACTGTCAGAAAAACCAAGCATGCAATTCTAACATCATTTCAAAACAGTTATTCTTTTATCATGTCCCAAGATAAAAGAAGATTTTATTAATTTTGGATAGAAGAAAGTTCTCTTGGYAAGACAAGCACAGATGGACAGGAGGAGGTCACACACTGGATTTGAGGCAGCCCAAAGGCTATTTAATAGTAAAAAGAGAGGCAAGTGACACAGGTCAGCTTAGCAAGCTCAAGGAGGAAGAGTAGTTAATAAAAAAATACAATTTATATGAGTTAAAGTTAACATATTCCACTGAAAGCAAATATTTAAAGGGATAACCTAAAAATGTGRTAATATCAGAGATAAATATCAGAGATGCTGCGTGAGAATATTCAAGATTAAAAAACCCTAAAAGTTCCAGGAATACAGCAATACTGGGTGGGGAAAATCAATGTCAAGTTTTTGATAATATGGGATAGAGATTGATGGTGATTAGCCCCCTGAATTGTTCTGARAAAATACAGGAATTCCTTGAACAGAATCCTGTTTGATATAAAAACAGCTGCTAAACACTGAGACTGGAASAGTCAAAGCTAAACAAACCTCATGGGGAAATGCACATCCTTAGCTTGTAAGGCATCCTTAAATATCCCTGAGCTGGGCCCTCGGGACTGCCAGAGAAGTGCAGCAAAGGCAATCCAAACTCCTCGRAAACAGAACTTGTAATTTAAATACACAAAGGAGTTCCCTCTTTCTGTCTGGGTTTTGTTTAATGAATCCCTTCTCTCTCGCTAATAGGTAACACAATTTGCCAGTGAGGCAAACAGTAAAGCAACTCATCAACATAAATAAATCAAGCACTAATTAGCCACATCCTTTCTGCCTGCTCCTCTGCACACACTGGTACTCAAATTTCATCATTCCAGCAGGTTCCTCTGGGCTGATAATGGATATACAATTAAAAGTAACAAAACAGAAACTGCTCTTTTGGCTAAATGAAACTTGAGTCAACTTTTAAGACTCCATAGCTAAATAAACCCAAATTCTACATACCCTACATCCCAGCTTAGCTCAAATCTCCTCCTAATCAATTTAAAGAGAGGTTTATAATTTAAAGAGAGCTGAGGATGGGTGCAGTCTATCTCACACTACAAGAGTTTAACTAGGGCAGACTAAATTCCGACAGCTTCCTCACATCAATAAACCCATAAAATCCAAAGGGATACCGCTGGATGTGTAATAGCTCACATCCAATTATCCTAACCATGAACATGGATTTCATGCTACACTAAGTTCTATCCACTTACCAATAATTCAAACTAAACTATTTCCTTTGAAGAATTCTTCTAAGTGCAATAAAGAGTTTGTCTGTCATGGCTCCCCACCCATTTACTGTTAATTACAATAACTGAGACTTCCAGTCCTTCCAAACATTTAACACTTCACTAAAGTAGTTTTAAAAACAAGGAGAAAGAACGACATGAAAAAAAAAAAAAATAAAAGAAAGTAACAACTACATGGTATAGACTTTGATTCAGGTATGCTGAAATAACCCCAGTCTTTTATAACAAACTCATTTTCTTCATATACCAATATCTGTAATGSCAACCATTTCAAACCCGAATTTCTATTTTTAAGCCAATTATCCACGTCTGTGTTTAATGCCATGCAACACATATAAAGTAAGACCAGAAAAACCATATGAAAACAGTTAAGTGCCACTTTCCCCAAGTCATTTCCCCATACTTGGCAATTTCACCACACTTTGGAAAGACGCATTATCTTGGCAACACTGCAAAATCAACACCTATTTCACTGCTTAACCAAGGACTATGATTTCAACTGTATAACTTGAAATAAAAAGACCACGAGGATCGTATCTGTCTCTCCATGCAGACAACCAAAAGAACCCACATTATAAAGCAGTTTCTCAAGAAAAAAAACCTTCTTACCCCCGTTATAGAGCTACAGTCACGGCCCTGCGAGCTGCAACAGCTCCACACAGAGGATGAGGCAGAAAAGAGGAGGGCGGGGCAGCTAATAAATAACAGCCGGGGTGATTAAATAATAGCTGGGGTAATGAGGAACAGGTGGATGGAGGCTGTAAACTCACTACTTACCTTTCAAACTCCTTTCAGGTGCGTGTGTGGGCTGGGCTTGCGGACCCGATGGCCGCTCTGGGGAAACAGAGCAGAGCACAAGGGCAGATAGGAAATAAAAGTATAAAAAGCCCTGTAGTAAAGCGGTGCGGTTGCTCCGGGATTTTTTCTTTCATTACCGGTGTCTTTTCAAGCCTGATGGAAGGTCGGAGGGGCAGGGTAGAACAAACTGCAACCTGAAACCAGAAGGGCGTGAGGGAAGCGATAAAGAGAAGAGTGCGAGGGCAAACA